CTTTGTGGAAGTCTGAAAAACACACTAGAAGAAGCCTGCAATCTTAACATTTTTGTTCCCCATGAAGTTCAGTTATACTTTCTATGCATACTCAAGGCTACAAATCTATACATGATAAGAACTAAATAAATCACGTTGGAATCTATTGGACTTGTTTCTGAAACATATATATATATTACATAATGTTGCAAGTTATTTCACTAGTTTGGAATTATGAAAATGAGTTTAATAAAATCTTGGCTTGCACATTCCTCCTCCAAATGTAAACAGCCATAATTAAGTTTATGTGTTGATAAACTTAATTAAACTGAATTGAAATTAAAAGTGAAAACTTCTAAACTCTCTCACCAGAAAAGGGGAATATAGGAGAGTCCAAAAATCCATTGTGACTCTTTCTTATAAAACCAAACTTTGGCTTATTGCTATACAACAACACTTTCAGGCAGAGAATTTGTTATACTATTGATACTGCATCAAATTTTTAGGCTAAAGAATAAGCTAAAAAAGCAAAAACATCACGCAGGCAGGCAGGCAACTGGTCTTAATGGTTCAAACTGAACCCAGCAAGTTGGAGTTGTTGTTTGTAGGTGACTGGGCTGGGTCTGTGCCAGTGCTGAATCTTGCTGGGGATGAAGTTTCACTTCCCTTGAAAGAACTTGCCTGAGGGTTCTGGTGAGGCTTCCTACCACATGAGAAGTGAAAGGAATGGGAATCAGGTGGCATGTGTTCTGGGTGCCAGTTTGCACCCTACAAAACAGTTTGCCCCCTGAGGTTTACGGGATCTCTATCCTCCTTGCTTTGCACAAATCAGGTAAGGTCTTTTTATTTCAGCAAGAGTAGGAGTGCTAATGGTGGCTTGGGTGGCCTTTTTCAGTCTTATGGATTGAATTAAAAAATTTTGAAGGGTAGTGGAGTTTTTATAAGGAGTTGTGGGAACGGAGGAGAAGTGGTTCCATTGTTGTTGGGTTTATGACCCCGGTAAACTGCCTCATGTTTCTGAAAGCATCAGTCTATAAATCTTGGTATAAACAAACAAACTCAGGTCAGTAATTGACATTTCACTCAGACTATTCACAAAGCTATAGTCATAGCTACAGTACAGGTAGTCCCCGTGTTAAGAATTCCGGGTTTATGGATGACCCATAGTTAAGAACAGAGCCTGTTGTAGCAAAATTCGAGTTAAGTACACAATGGTTCAAGTTAACTACACAATACTACTTACAGTATACAGTATTATACAATAATACAGGTAATCCTCGCTTAACAACCATTCGTTCAGCAACCATTCGAATGTACGATGGTGCCGAATAAAGGGACTTACGACCCATGCCCGAAGTTACAGCCGTTGGAGCGCTCCCATGGTCATGTGATCGTGATCTGGGTCCTTGGCAATCACTTCACGCTTAGGACCAGTTGCCAAGCACCCCATAATCATGTGATTGCCATTTGCAATCTTTCCTGCTGGCTTTCCCAGAAAGTCAGTGGGGAAGCTGGCAGGGAAGGTTGCAAGCCACTGCCGCCTGCCAAGGGGACTCCCTCTCATCTCTGGGGGCTGGCTGAAAAAGCTTCACGCTG